TGGCGTTGCTTCGAGATGCGTCCAATTGCCATTCGCTGCTAAAGAGCGACGATGAGATAACACGCGCGCGATACTCTTAATAACCCGGCACAGCTAACGAGTGATAAATTGCAGCCAAAGCATTCTTCGCGGTGGTTCGCGAGTTGCGGCGAGCAACGAACGATTGAAGCTTCGCTCGGAACGCGTCATTGCGCGGCGCGAACATGTCGAGGATATGTCGGCCGTGAAGGATTCAGACGATTCGCGAGCGCTGAAAATCGCAAAATCCCGCTTGCAAACGCGATCCTCTCTCGTGTGCCTCCCTCTATCTTTCCGTTTCACTCGCTCGCTCCCTCTCTCTCTCTCTCTGTCTCTCTTTGGCGTTTTCTCTCGCCGGGCTTACCATCGATTTTCCACGCGAACATCCCGCCGCGCCGCGTCGCGCCGCGAGCACCGCCACGGTCATAGCTTGTTTATGTGTAATGTTATATCGGCAATCGGGGCTGTTCGCGCACGAGTTTCATTTGTATTTTACGTTCGAATTGCGCTCCCGCGCGAATTGCGCGCAGGCCGCAGCGGAGGCGCGAAACTCTTGCCCGCACTCGGAGTAATAGCCAATAAAGCTCGTTATTTTGCAATCAACACGGACATCGGCAGAAAAATGCTTGTTTTCTTTTATGCGGGCTTCGTTAGTCGCGAAGCGAGAGAAAGAACCGTGGTTTAGTAACGTTTATTGGGAATACCGTAATTAAACCGGGACTACCGCGTTTGCCGATAATAGTAAGCGCGAGCGTGTCGTGCGCCAGCCACGTAGATCGTAACACGCCGTGGTGGATTTTACCGCCATGATGGCTGCCACCTCCCCCTCTCGTGCGCGGCTACTTAATAAATAATGTCACGGCTGAATTTCTTTGTCCGCGATGTCCGGCTGTTCTTCGTCATTTCGTCCTCCTCGTTCGCCTCCCCTGCGTCCTGCCCTCCTCCTCTTCCTCCTTCTCCTCGTGTCACGCTCAAAGCCGCAGCTCAAAGCGTCGATTTTTGATAATTATAATAATTGGTAAATCGTCGCGCCGTGCGCGCGTGCGTGCTCGGATTGTATAGCGGACAGTCAATCAGCGTCCGACGTCGAAATATGTTTTAAAACGCGCCGGTCATCCTCAAACTGGCGCGCACGCTCGTTGGTCGTTCAACCGCACGGAATGAGATTTGAATTTTGCACGTATCACGCGACGTCAATCAATTTTGCAGAAACGCGAAACGATTTTGATACGTACGCGCGCTCGCGTATACGGTGTATCTTTTGTAATTGCAATTCATTTATATCGACTGTCACCACGCACGGCCAAAATGTGATTGAGCGGGAGAAGTAACTCTCAATTTCTTACCCCTTCCATTCTTCCTTTTTTTTCTTCTTCGTTTTTTGCTCTTACTGCGACTCAACTTTGACGGCGTACAAACGCCCCTACATTTATTCGCTCGAGCTTCTATGCGAGATAAATAGGGAGAAAAAGGGTGAGGAGCAGGCGAAGAGAGAGAGAGAGAGAGAGAGAACGCGAAATCTCCTTCACGTGTATTTATACGCGCGCGTCTTTACGGACAATAAATTGTTACAGTATCGAGGGCATTCTGCAAAACGAGACGTTGTAGCATTTGCATGTTATCTCGTGCTCTTTCGCGAAATTACGCCAGCCGTTGCGTTCTCTGAAAAAGCGCGGGGGGAGGATCGAGCGCGCGTATCGGCGTTATCTGCACGCAGCTTAGAGCTGCGCAGCGGCCGCGCGCGCGTCTTGGAATTATTTATTGCCCTTAATCACCGATCCGCGGCCCTCGGTAGCAGTTAACCCATATTTCTCGGGCTTAATGGCGAGAACAAACAGCGGCATGGTCCGCCGAATATCTCCTCGGACAACTAAATGTCTCGCGGGCATCGTGCGCGCCGTCTGCGAAATGTCTAATCGTGACGTTCCGCCGTTTGCACGTTATGTTCGGCTATTTCGCGTAGATGCACTTCCATTTGCCCGGCCGTGCAATTCTGCGCGCGCGGGCGAGCGGCGGAGGAGCGGGAAGAGGAGGAGGAGGAGGAGGAGGAGGAGGAGGAGGAGGAGGACGACGAGAAAGCAGGATGAAAAGTGACGGACGTTGTTTGAGAGACGATCGCGGCAGCGCGCGCGAGGCGAGCGATGGAAATGTCACACGTGAACTTGCGTGTAACGAGGCGAGCGATGTACCGCAAAAATCGTGCGATTTTACGAACCGGCCAGGTTCACTGCTCGCGCGCGCGCTAGCGCGCGCGCGTGGCGAGTAGTGTCCGCTTTTGCGACCGTTCGAGGTCGTGCTCTCTCGAGGTCCGACTAGAGAGCTTCATAGGAAGAGAGTGGCAAACTGATCACGTGACCAGGTCTCTGCTGGTTCGATGGAGGCACAAAGTCCTCTTGACCAATCAGAATATCGATATAGCAAGACATGCGATATAGACGACAGGTTGGTTTTACAGTGAATTTTACAAAGCAGTCTAGGCAATTCATATAGTTAAAACTTTTTGGTTGCTGTAACAAAAGTATTACGTTATACGAACAAACCGTAATCGAACAAGATATTTGTTCGACAGGAACTGAACAGTTTTGTCGGGCATATTTTGACCAAATTATTTTCTTGTTACAACAAAATTTTCGTTCACGCGACAATACATTTTTCCTAGTGTAGGTCCGACGAGCGCGCGAAAAAGCGCGTCGCTAATTCGCGCTCGTCGCTTCGGCTCTCACCGCGCCGATACCGCCGCGCCGGCCGTCTACGCCCGCGCGACGAGCGGCAGCATTATGAATCCATTAAAGTTCACGAGAGGAGTGCGACGTGCGGGAAAACATTATGTTGCCACGTTTCACGGGAGGGGCGTTCCATGCGGCACACGTTTCATGCATTTTTATCCCATTTCAAGGAGCAGCGCTACGTTACGTGCGAGATGCACCTACATTATGTAAACGTTCCTGCGTCTCTCTCTCTCTCTCTCTCTCTCTCTCTCTCTCTCCCGCTCTCTCGCTCTCTCTCTCGCTCTCTCTCTCTCGCTCTCTCCTTCTTTCTCGCGGTCTCCCACTAGATTATTTATTATACTAATTACGGAATTGCGAGACCCACGGAGTTCCACTTGCGCGCGCTCGGAGCCGACGCGACGTCGCGAATAAAGTTTTCGCCCGGAATAAGTTGTACACCGCGGAACGTGCACGCGTTCTTACGAGAGACACGAGCGCGTGACGAAGTTTATCGAAAGCATTCGGGCCTGACACGTACATTGAATTAATTTCACTCGCCGCGCGTCTCCTTCCGCCCGTGATTGGCTCCTTGAGACGAAGAAGAAGGCTAAAAGGACGAGACGGAGGAGCGGATCGCGATTGTCCATCTTTCTCTTTCTTCCGCTCATGCGGATGGTAATAGAGACTGCCTTTCTTCCTTTGATCGCTCCAGTGAAATGAGATTCCAAAGCGTCCCGGAGTCGGCGGAAAGACGGCGACGAGAGCCGATGACCGCAAGCGTTTCGAGTGGAAATTACCGAGTGGAAGACAAGCGCGTCGTACTTCGTATTTCGACGCCGACGGGATCTCGACGCGAAACGCTCGCGACGGCAGACGAGAGAAAGAGAGAGAGAGGGAGAGGGAGAAAGAGAAAGATTGCGACTGTTACAAGTGCGGGCAAAGCGTTTTCCGATCCCGCTGATCATTTGCGCGAACTTGTCCGCCTGCCGTTCGTTTCAGCCTGCCGCATGTAAACGAACGCGAGATTCGAGAAAAACGGATCGTTCAAATCAACAACAGGCGACGCGAGATCCTGAGAGACTCGTTGCGCCGCGAGTGTTTCTCTCCTTGTTTCCTTTACCAGCTCTATAAATGTGTAATCCTTCCGGTTGTCACCGATTCTTGCTGCTGGGAGTGCGTAATTCCCGCGGGAGAACGCATTTTGACGGAACTTGGATTGAAAATTGCGTGTATCACAAGCCGCGATTCGATTAAATGCTTCGGTAAACGTTGATGAGACACAATCAATTATGCTAATTGGGTTAATTATGTATAATAATAGATTTGCCGTTCTACATGAGAGGATCATTGCGTGGATCAAATTTTCAGTTAATTTCCTCGGAACGCAATAATCGCTGTTCGCCGTTGCTCGTTATCAATTATGTGGGCGATCTTTTTCACGTTGTGACCGACTGATAGATTAGCGATTACGTTTGGCAATACCTATAGAAATATTAGCTAATGATACGGCTAATGAGCAGAGTGCATTATAATCGCCGTTCGATGCGAGCGACGCGTGTGTTGTAACACGCCGTGTACCGGCTACGGAGGCAGTAAAATAGAATAAAGTCCATAAAACAGAAAAGGGGCGGCGCGGCGGGGGAGGGGGGGGGGAAGTGACACTTGTAAAAAATTTCATTCCGGTTGCCGCTGCTCGCGAACTGGGAGAGTCACGTCTTCTACGGAAAGACATCGAAAGTTGAGTAAGGCGCGCGCGCGCTGAAACTTTCGGCCTGACACCCGGCCGCCGTTTGTAAAAGGTCGAGAGTAGCAGCGAAACGAGTTTGCAATCACCGATCGATAGGACTTTAAATCACGCGACGAACTTTCAGCCGGCGGGCTGAAAAATTTATCGGAATTATTTATGGCCGTCGCGCGCTGACCGACAGACGCTTAATCCTAAAACACTGATTCGCGGACAGCGCGCCGCGGCAATCGAGCGCGTCCACGACTGTCGACGAGAGCGCGTCGCATAACTCTCCGCCGAAAAATATCATAACGCGCGAGTTATTATATTCCGCCTGTGCTCCGCGAGCGAGCGAGCGAACGGTTGTACGTAATCGTGACTGCGCCGTACATTGCGCGAACGCGACGTCGATAAATGTCCGCCTTCGAAAACACGTCCGAAAACAGACGGAGGCGCGCGCGTTATAATGCAGGCAGCAGGCGCGCCAACGTGATCGCAGGCTTCATCGCGTGTCCTTCACAACGACTCGTTTTTTTTATTGTTCGCAGGTGCAACAGGTTTGAAAGATCTGACGATAAACGTGCCGAACGTGGTGAGATCGGGCGATACCGTGACGCTGTCGTGCCACTACGACCTGGAGGGCTCATCACTGTACACGATACAATGGTTTCTCGATAATAATGAATTTTATCGCTACGTGTTCGATCGCGTGCCACCCGCCAGCACGTTCAACGTCTCCGGCATACAAGTCAACGTGAGTAATTAATTCCTTTTCTGTCGAGTAACTGAGGACTTTGGGAAATTTCCCGTCACGCGACCCTGAGGCTACCCTGAGGGTGGCGAAGCAGTGGAACTATCGACGATTGGCGCGCCCTACCTCCACCGAAGCGAAACCAACAGTATTTTGAAAAAAAATACGTTGAGCAAAGACGAAAATGTTTATTTATTTATTTATTTGGTTTTACTCTTACGCCCATGAAAAATATGTGATGCGTCTCTCTCTCTCTCTCTCTCTCTCTCTCTCTCTCTCTCTCTCTCTCTCTCTCTCTCTCTCTCTCTCTCTCTCTCTCCCTCTCTCTCTCTCTCTCTCTCTCCCTCTCTCTCTCTCTCTCTCTCTCTCTCTCATTACGTAAATCTAAAGAATTTTTACGAGAAATCACAAACCGGTAACCTTTGATCGCTGGGCAATCCCATGTTGAACTTTTACAACACAGTTTCCGCTGTGCGGCAGACAACGGCGAATTAGCGGCCTAAGAATCAGTAGACGAGAAAGAAACAGCAATAATCCGGAGATGTCCGGCGTATTTCACATTTAGCGTAACCGGTGCCTCATTTACGGTAATAACCGAGTCACCGTACGTTTACCTTTATTACGGCCAACTTCTCGATTAACCCGCAATAAAAATCTTATCTCCTTAATAACATTTCCGCCAAAGTTTATTATACTTAGTCTCGCTTACCAGAATGTTCATTACGAGTGGCGCTCATGCGACAAGCCGGGCCGAAATGACGAAAAAATTCGAATTATACGAAAGCTGAGTGAGAGGACGAGATTAAGGGCTTCGGGTGTCGCGCAGAGCCCCGATCGTTCTTTCACAGGCAAAGCTAAATCGCCGGGATTCGAATTCAAGCTCCTCGGAGCGTGCGATCTGATTGGCTCGCGGACTAGCGTAGTAGAATTCGTTCGGACGGTACCTCAGCCCTTTAATTAGCCCTTCAACAGCCCGACTATTCCGGATGCAGCGCTGAATGCGCACGTGGTAACATAACAGCCGCGCGCGATCGACGTTTGTTACGTGTGTCGCGCCACCGTAATTCATTGTATCCGTCGCGCATCACGTGACGTAATGGCCAGTAAATCAATGAAATTTATATTCACATGTCGAAAAAGTGAGCAACTACCGCGGGTAACTACGACGAGCTACCCGCTGTGGCGTAACGCAAGTTTCAGAAGAGAGCCACTATAGCGCGGCGTATCGTCCTGCAAACGATCGCTTAGCGGCAAACCACCATAGTGGCGTGTCGTTCTAAAAAACCATTTAGCGGGAAGCCACTGCAGTGGCGCGTAGAATCCGAAGGGTTAACGCCGCTGCACGCGCTCGAATCACCGCACCGGTGCTGCATTCCCACCGTACGACGTGCGTTATAAATTGTATTTATTCTCCGAAGGATGCGCATATCGATGCACGCCGCGGTCTGCTCCATTTATCAAGCGCGCGCGCGCGCGCGTTCCCTCGCTCTCTCTCTCTCTCTCTCTCTCTCTCTCGCTCTCTCTTTCTTTATCTTTCTTCCGAGGAGGACGCCGAGATAAGAAGAGCAAAGCAGAGTCGATTTTTGCGCTCGTGAGTAAACGACGGGCCGTACTCTCTCTTTCCCCTTCCCCCCCTCTGTTTTTTTCCTCTTTATAACTCGCGCTCCATCCGAGCGTAATCTATTTTTCCGCGGAAAACACAACCTGCAAGCAGTTTCGATAAAGAAGGAGAAGGAGAGATCCGAGCGGTCGGGTCTCTCTTCCCCTCCGCTCCTCTCTGTCTCTCCTTTTCTGTCGCGTCTCGGCCGATGGGACGAAAGTTCTTGCTGTTCCTTGGACAACCGCTTGCCGCCTTCTAATCTCCCATGCGCCCGGGAGCCTCCATTTTTCCGCCAGTGCGGCCGTGACGGAGGTAAAAGTTTCTCGCGCGGATGCAGGGGCGGCTGCGCAATCGATAGGCTGATTTATGGCGTGTACTACGACCGCGACACGACTTGAACCCGGGTCAAGCGAGTCTCGTGTTTTACCGGCGTCGATTCAACCGGCCGTCGCGACTCCCCTTTCCGACTCTTTTTTCCGCGCGAGCCTTCGCGAGGTGTGACTTCTCTCGACTTGTTCCGACGCTCGTGAAAATCGAAGTTCGCGCGCGCGCGCGCGAGAGAGAGAGAGAGAGAGAGAGAGAGAGAGAGAGAGAGAGAGGTGGAAAACCTGTACGGATCAGTTTCAGGTGTTGGCGCTTATCAATTGTACACGATAAGCATAAATGAGTGATACGTCGGAGAGACAAGCGTGCGCGGAGAAACGAGTACTTTCGAGCGTTAGAGCAAAGGAAGATAGGCGCAAAAGAAATTCAGAGCTGCTGCGAGATACCTCGCAGCAGCTCTGAATTTCTCCCCCGAATTTTACGCTGCGTTATAATTAAGACGATAACGAATATCCCGGGCGAAAGGTTGCCGCGGCAAGTCGCGTATGGTTCGCCGTGGAGCATCGGTGGAGCGTGTACATTTAATAGCATCCACAGCGCCGGCTTCCTACTAGCTTCCCATCCTTTTCACCTTTTGTCCGACGGCTCAAAGGAAACACGCCTCGGAGACCTGCGGGAAAATACTCCCGCAGGATGCGCGGGATGTGCTCTATCGATATAATTATCGCTGACGAGCGGTCGAAAACAGCGGTTGAAAATGGGGGATGGCGGCGACGAAAGTTCGCCAGCGGAAGGGGAGGTCAAAGTGTGTAACCGAGAGAGGCAGGAAGGTGCGACCTCGAGTGATGCTCGGCAAGATACCAGAGAGAGAGAGAGAGAGAGAGAGAGAGAGAGAGAGAGAAAGCGGGGAACGCGAGATTGAATAACAACAGATGGAACGGAACGGGGGGAACAAAGTGCGGGGTCGTAAGAGTCGTAAGGGGGGAGTAAATAGTCGGAACGACTACGGAGAACGAAACACACGCGCGTGCGAGGGGGATGACGGCGATTAAGGAGCGAGAGATGACGACAAGTGACGCGAAAGGCGGATAACGTATTCGCGGAGAGATGGTCGGATGGTGATTTCCCCTATTGGTCCGCGGAGTTTCGAATATTTCACGAGCGGTGATGGGCGATGAGAGAAAAGAGGAACGATATGAGAGGAGGAAACTATCCGGGGCGCGATGGCGGCGAATTGACGCCGACAGAGCTGCAAGGGCTTCATCCGACCTCGCGCGCGCGAGTCTTCTCAATTTCCCCGCTCTAAATGCGACACGGTAAGGATTCCATTTTTCCGATCTCCCCCCCCCCCCGCCGCACGGATTCGCAATCGTTTCATTTGGGATTTTCACCTGGCGCTTGGCTTCAGCGCGCGGCGATTTTCGCGTAATTTTTCGTCGCTGTATCAGACGTCGTTTTCGTATCGCCCGACACCGACGGCGGGCCCGCGCGGCGCTCGTTCGAAACGCGGACGACGTTAATAATGTACTGCGACGCATAGTTTCCGAAGCGATTTAATGAATGAATATTAATTCAAGAGCGAGTCTCGATGAGTTGAGTTACGACGTTGCTCGTCGACGAGCAAGGTTTAGGAACGCGCGGCCTCCTCCCGCGCGTTGCGACGCACACAGGAAAAGCCGAGACGGGGCGGGGCGGGGGAATTTTCACGGGCGCATAAAGCGTCTTAAGTCGGCGGATAGAAGCAGCTAACTATCGGCCGCGGGCGTAATCTTTATACGAGGAATTTACAACGACCCGCGCGTGTCTAACCGGGTGTAGCCGTCGGCGGTGGACGCCCTCACGAGGGGCGTTTTTGCGATCGCCCGCTTCTCGACGACGGTTACAACGAGAGATTATATCGTCCCCGGTCGTGGAGACGAGAGCGGATAAGCCGTCGCGCGCGCGCGCGTCTCTAAATGGCCAGTCGTGTAACTGCGCCGATAAACTCGTCTTTTTAGCGCCACTTAAGGATATCCCTCTTCGGCGATCGGCTTGCGCGTTACCGCCCTGAGACTGAAACATCTCGCTCGGGAGAAATGGCCCCGCACCCCGGGAGCACGCTCTCTCGTGGCACGTGAAACGCGATCGCCGTGATAGAACCGCTCCCACGTAGCCGGAGATTTAGGATAATAATTTTTCGCTATCCGATTAAGTTTCTATCGTCTATCCCGATTGGCTCGTATATCTCCGCCCCGCCGCCGAGTACTCTCGCCCGATATAAGAATAGAGGTGATATTTGTTCCGCGTGAGTCATGGCTCGTAATATCATGTAACGGTATTGAGCTATTGTTACTGCGATGTAATCGATGTTTCTGGAGGGAATAGCTCGCTCTCGCGAGCTCCCGTAGCATTCCATAAACGAACGAGCACGAAGAGTGAAATCTCCGGAGCGCCGTCGTTGCCGTGGCTTTTTCCGACGAAAGACTCGACGTCGTCGCGTATCGGGAGGGAAAGGGAAAGAGAGATAGAGATAGAGACGGAGAGAGAGACACCCTGAACGAATTTATCTATCAACAATACGAAAGTGGCCGTTCTCGCTAGCGCCGATTGCTTCGAAGGAAGCGCCGAAACGATGTCAGAGGTTGTTTCAGAACGCGTTAGTCCTCATCCCCCTTTATATCCGCGCAGAGAACTTTCCGGAGCGACGCGCACTCGCACTCTCGCGTAATCTCTCACGATTCATCCACGCCGAGAAAATCCGCAACCCGCGAGGAATCGCGAGAAGAAATTCGGAGATCCGACTCGAAGCAACTCGAAAGCCGCGAATCGGCGCGGACTTTTAGCGCGTGTCGCGCGCATGTCATATACTTATACCTGCACACGCACCTGGCCTCGTTTAATCCAGGGATCCAGGACACGCCGAAAAAGGTGATACACGCTCACACTTTTCATAAAAGGAGGCAGCGCGCGCCGCAGTTTCCGCCCCGGCGGATCCGAATAGTCGCGGCGCGCACAACTCTCCTTTCAATGATATTTTTCATCGAGCGTCTCGTCCACGCCGATGCCAGGAGCGGAAAAGAAACGATGAAAAAGACGTCCCCTCATCCGATATAGTTTGTAAAGGAGGCGGAGACGCTCGCCGTGATGAATATAAATGCCTGCGGTGGGAGGGGAGAGGGGGGGGGCAGCAGAGGCGCGCACGCGAGGCCGCAAAAAGAAACGAGTGCGCGGGCGGTTGTAGAATCCAGATTTCAGCGTGCAAGGGTGCAGGATGTAGGATCGATTGCGACGCGGAATGCAAAGCGGTATTAGCCGCGCTTAATATCAGGAGGATCCGACGCGCAGGAGGATCGAGTGAAGAAGAGAGAGAAGCGCGCGCGGCATTTCGCGCAAACGCGAAATGTTTCGCGTAAACGATCCGTTCGTGTGACATCACGTAAACAAATCCGCTTATCCGCGGTTAACTACGCTCGCATCGGATTCGCGCGCAAGCGGTAATGATATCTTTCGTTAACTTGGCGACGCGTTATCCCCATCGTTATACGCATCACTTGTGTGTGTGTGTGTGTGTGTGTGTCCGTTAAATCATGATGATTTCGCTCGTAAAAATTTCGCGAATAACGATGCGAGCTTATCTCGACGCAATCCAACTTTGCTTCTCGTAAGAGAGAGAGAGAGAGAGAGAGAGAGAGAGAGTCTCTCTTTTTTTCTTCTCTCTCTACCGTCTTTTACACCGCAACTTTTTATTCCCGTACGAAGCGGTCGGGGAGCGATGGGGAGGAAAGAGGGACGCAAAAAATTGCACATCGTTCCTCGCCGTTCCAAGTTTTCGCGAAGAATATGCATATTCCTCTCGTCGACGTCGTAGGAAGTCGAGTCGCGCAGCGGCGACTTATTTTTTCACGTAACAGTCGTAACGCGCGTCTCGAATTCGACGACGTCACTTTCATCGATATTGCAAGATGGAAACTTTCGTCCTTTGTTCTCCGGCGCCTAAGAGACAGCTAAAAATGCGATGCTTCCTACAAAGATGTGTCAGTAAAAAAGCCTTACTCGTCGCGCGCGCGCGCACGCGGTAACCTATATCTAGCAGCATCGTCGACGGAGAGGGGTTTGCTTCCTCGTTCTTCAAACGTCTGTAAAAGCACTCCGAGGAACGTCGTTTTGAAAGGAATCTTCGCGAATGGTGTTACTTCCCGGTGACAGTTCCGCTGAGATCCATGCTTTTAGCGAAGTTACCCGGGAACGCGCACGCCCGCGGATCGATACTTATTATCGTTTTCCCTCGTCCCGATAGTCGATGCGACGGAATAACTAAGCACAAGCACCGCTCTGATAACCGTTTCGCTCGCGCGCGCGCGCGCTGCGCCGCGCGTGTCGTCCCTTCGCCGCGTCGTCTAATTATTTCGTCATTACGGCGGAGCGCGCGCTAATAAAAAGCGACTAATAAAAAACACGAACGCGTTAACCACTCGGAGGGGGAACGCCCTCGGCTGTTCGTAATGAATATTCCCAGCATCCCATTCGCATCCATCACCGAGCTTCCTTCCGCGACTCGAGAGATCACAGGGAGTGTTAAAATTTAATTGCAACACGGGGGGCAAGGATGGGGGGAAGCAGACACGCTCGCGCGAAATTATCGTTTGCGCAGGAACCGCCGCGGAGAGAGAGAGAGAGAGAGAGAGAGAGAGAGAGAGAGAGAGAGAGAGAGAGAGAGAGAGAGAGAGGAGAGAGATCACGCGAGAATAATTTCATGCCGACGAGTTATCGGCGCGAGAAAACACTCGCGAGCGCGGATGCTCGGAAAGATCGCGATTATACGAAAGCGTTCCCGACTATCGACGCGAACCACCGTGAAAAATGGCGAAACTTTGCGTAAGCTAGCTGCGCTATCGTAAAACCCGACTGCAGAGGGGGAGGGGGGAGGGCGGAGGAGGATGGTGGGCGCGCGCGCGCGCGTCCGCGCGGGCTACCTTCTGGTAGGAAATAGCGAGGGTGGAACCGAACTGCACACCGGCTGGAGCACGCTACATCACAGACTTCGGCGTTTTACAGATCTCCAAATCGAACACACACGACGTGACACTGGTAGACGTGTCCAGGAAGCTGACCGGATGGTACAAGTGCGAAGTATCCGCCAGCAGCCCTTCCTACCACACTATGATCAAAAAGGCCAAGATGGAAGTGGTCGGTAAGTGTGCGTTCGATCCGCCAAGTATTAAAACGTTTCTCTACCTCCTTCGCTTTTCGTCTTTTTCTCTCCGTTCGCCTCCTTTCGCTACGAACACGCGTTTTGCACCGGGATCGTTCGAAAGCGCGCGCGCGCGCGCGCAGATGCTTTACCAGTCTATTTCGCGACTCGATTCCGAAGCGGTGATATGTTTCGTAAGTACGTATGGGGATCAACGGTCCTGGCACTGATACCGGGGGGTTTAGGCGAAATCGATGTAGCCTGTAACGCTCCCCGATGAGATACTTCGTCGATTTCCAACGGACAAACCGGATCCTCCGCTCGCGACTTTGTCTCTTAAGCGCTGTTACGTGTCGTGTTTGCGTGTGCGCGCGCGCGCGCCGTCCAATCTTGCTTCCGATCGTAGTCGATCACGAGTGACGGGCGCTCCTCGTGACGATTTCTTGACAAATCACCGCTTCTCCAGCGGGGAACGTGTGTATTTTCGATGCGTTGTACGTACATTGAGCGCAATACACTCGCGAGTTTCTCCGCGCGGGACCGGCGCGCGCCGCGCAGCTGATCTCCAGCGTGATCGGGGAGAAAACTCGCGCATCGAATAACGCGTACATGCTCGCTCGCGCGGGCGGGCGTACCTCAACACGGTCGAGAGCGCAGAAATCGTGACGCGCGATAGGGATTACAAATTGTTGAAACGAAATGCGCGACGGTGTCCGAGGGATCAGCCGGAAACACAGCAGTCATCGTCGCGGTAGCGAGCACGCCGGGCTCGTTGCTCAAGTGTTGCCGGTGTACGCGCTTCATGACGCGCCCCTCGGCGCCGCTGGCATGTCGCCAGATGTCGAGTTAGTGCCGCGGCAGCAGTCGCATGTGCTAAACGACATAATTATTATGCCTTAGACGCCCCAAAAACGGATCCTACGATTCGTACGGAGAAGGAGCGCATAGTGGTGGACGAGACGCTGCGAGTCAACTGCACCACGGGCAACTCCCGACCCGCCTCCACCGTTACGTGGAAGCTCAACGGGGATTTCGTAAGTATCGTCTCTCGCCTCGCCCTGCTTCGCCTTGCCGTCGTCCCGACGACCCGCCGTCTTACCCTGTATATATACGTCTTCGGGTAGTAGCTACGTGACCCCACTGGATGATTAGAGTCGCGCGCGCGCGCGCGCGGAGAAGACTCGAGCCTGTGCCTATTCCATTCTGTTTCATCCAGTCACCTCTCCCTCCCCCTCCCTCACCCTCCTTCCATTACGTCTATCCCGCCGCCGTTCTACTACCGCTCACTCGGGGCTTCTCTTTCTCGCCGATACGTGACACAAACACACACACAAACACACACACACATGTGCCGCTGTCGGAAGATTCGCGTGAAAGAATCGACACGTACGACACGGAGCCCGTGGTAAATTTGCAGCACGTAGCGCGACGCCGTATGCGAGTTGATCAATTGCCGTGTAATTAAGGAGAGAATGACCGAGTTGCGAGAGAGGAGCGAGCAGTGTCGCGCGCCAAGTTTAATAGTGTAATTGTCGCGGCCGGGAAAAGCCGCTACCTCTCTCTCTCTCTCTCTCTCTCTCGTCCCTTCGTGCGTGAAGGATACGTGTCTCTACTCCGGTACTTGCGGGCGAATAAACCGGCGGTATAGCGGCGGAGACAAGTTGTTGTAGAAAGAAGGGGGCGCAGCAATGAGATTTTACAACTTCGATCTCCTTTTTTAGAGGCCGCGCACACCAGCTGGCAGGATATACGCTATCGAGCGTCTGCGTTTCGCGCGCGCGCGCGTCTCGATACCTACGTTTTATCGTCACGACTCAATATATTGAAATTTAATAAAGGATGAACTGTGTATGTAGTCGGCGTGTCACTTTGGAACACACAGCGATAATATTCCGCGCACGTTCGCACGGACGACACGATTGTCAATAAACTAAGTTCGTGGATGGAATTTTGTATCTAGATGTTCATTTGCATGGCACTCGGCGCGCGCGGCGTCAATTAAAGCCACGTAAAAACGTCGACGCTTTTTTTCAGTGGAATTGGCCTTGTTTTAGTAAACGTAACGCATTATAGAAAAATTCTCCATTAATCTGGACGAAAGAGCATTCCTCCGGCAATTGGCTCGTGTCACGTAAAATTGCGTTATAAAGCAAATCGCGCTCGAAGCGAGCGAAATACAAATGAACGTTACGTTCTAGCTATAACGCTGGAACCTCATACGCGCGTTAATCTCGATATCGAGCATTTTTTTACTCGTTACGCGTTACGCCAAATTAATTTACGAAAATCAGAATGGCGCGTTGCGACGTATCTGAATTTCATCGTTGATTCGCAACGACTACGCGCGCGCGCGCGTGCGTACACAAATTATCATTTTAAACGTTTCAATATTGCAGAATACGCCGCGCGCCGTGCGTACAGAGACGCGTGCCTTTTGTATTTTGTGCTTAATGACGTTTGAGCTGACGCATATTTTTCCAATTAACGTGCGTTTCCAATATATATATTTTTCGCGACACGGAGTATGCAAAATTTCATAAATAATTTCTCGCATAAAGTATCTCGAATTGCCTCGTATCTACGGGACGTGTACGCATATTTTCGTCATTGGCGAAATTGTCGCCGACAAATACGAGATCGAGCTGGCTTTATTGCTATTCGCATAGTTTCCCGTTCGCTGTAAAAACGCGCGGAATTTCGTCCGCGCAGATATTCGGAAATCGGCGAGCCTCCCTCGGGCGCGCCCGATACAACCAGCGCGCGGGTATTACGCGCGCGAAATGTGAACGCCGCGTCTAGATTTAGAGACGTATCGTCTCCCTCTCTCTCTCTCTCTCTCTCTCTCTCTCTCACCGCGCGGTAATCGCTTATCGGAGCGTCGTTAAACGACCAGCTGCAGCTGCAGCTACGGAGATGGGACGCAAATGAGATACGCGCGTGTTATAGGATACTTGGTGTGATTAACCATTAAGACGCGACAGGCCTCCCCCTACCCTCTCCCTACCCACCTCCTTTCCTTCTATAAAGTAGATAAATCTCGAGGAACTTTCGAGTGGAAAAGCTCCGTACGCTAGTAATCTGTAGTGCCTTCCTGTCGAGTGCAGCATCAAACGAGCTACGATCGAGCAGCGCAAAAGAGTACTGAGAGAAACAAAAGAGGGGAGCGAGAGGGAGGGAGGGGGGAGGGGGAAAGGAAAGAAGGAAGAAAGACAGACGAAGAGGATTAAGCGACTTATTCATATCTTCGCGATCGTCGAACGTTCTCCATGTATCGATCGGCGCAAAGTTTCATTCTTCACGCGTCTCGATTAAATGTTTACGCGTCGCACGCCGCGGCGCACGCTCTTTCTCCTCGTTCTCCTCTTCCTGCCTGTCTTTCTTTCTTCGGACCGCATCCTTCTAAATTTTCTCGGGGTCGGAGCATTAACCGCGTTAACAAGTTATGCCGTTGCGTACTTTTATTCGCGGCACTTTACGGGCCGCGCCCCGTAGCTTTGTAATTTAATTCAGCTTTAATCGCATCGACTTAATTGCCGGGGAGGAGAGCTCCCGCCGGCGCGCGTTTACGAAAACAAGCTCAATATTTGCGCGCGTTAACTCGCTCCCGCGCATCGGGCGAAATGACGAGAAAAAGGAGAGGCTTATGAAATAAAGTGAAATAAAAACCGCGCGACACAACATTGCAGGCTCTTATCTTGACGAGCGGATCCATCGCTTTCGTAGAAAATACCGGCGGTTTAAATAAACCAGGGCGCGCGCGCGCGAGAGGCGCGATATTTTCCACTGAATATTCGTTTCCAGAGGCCGGCGCGCTTTGTTTTTGAACGTGCAGATTTATGCCGTCCTTTGACACTTTTCATTCCGACGATTGAAACGGCGTAACTCACTTTCGGCCGCTGTGGAACTGGGAAAAACGTCAGCACGGCGCGGGCTCGCCTCGGCACGGCGGCGCAGCGATTTAACGGAATAATTTAGTTGATTTAACGAAACCCGCGAAATAACGATTTATTTGCATACCAGGCATCCGTGACCCTTCGACCGTACGCGAATGTATCTGAATGAATCTTGCTAAATTTGATTCCTGCCGCGTCGCATAGGAATTTCAACGAAGCCCGCTCGAGAAGGCACGTGATGATACTTTCAATCCCCGCGACCGGCCGAAACGCTGAAATGCACACGCATTGTAAGAGATTAATGGAATTCGTCAATAATTAAATAATCCTGCTTCAGTGCTCCTCTATTTAACATAATATTCCACGTGTGAATATTTCGCGGGTCGTTTCGCGACGCGCGTTCGTGAAACAATTTACATTTAATTAACGACCTCGCGATAGCATAATTTTTATATAAGCAGAATTACCAGCCCTAAAATTGATCGTATTGTTGTTCGCGATAGCATTTCGCACTCGGCGAGTGTAAGCGCGCGATGTTTTTGCGGTGGAATAACGCTGAACATAATAAACGATTGTAGCAGAAAATCACGTTAAAAATGGTTAAAAGCGAGAGGCGCGTCGCGCGCGCGCGCGCGCGCGCGCGTTTCTGTTGCATGAACAATAATTACTTAACATTTTAAACGAGACGTGATTATTTTTCATTTAACACGGAATCGTATTGTCACACCCGGCGATTTCCTCGTCAATCTGTTTTAAATACCTTTTCCCGCGACAAAAACGACAAAGGGAATTTCACTTATGCGGCTGCGACGCGACCGAACGCGAGAACTGTGTCAATTCGCAGCCGCGCGCTTTAATGGAAATGTTTAGGAATTTTTTAATATTAATATCGGCGCGGCGGTATCGGAAAAAGAATTGGTTATTAAAGCAATCCCCGGCCCGTGGCCCAAATGTACAAATGAGCGGGACCGGCGATTTTAGACGGACGCTCGCGGGACGGCGCGTGAAATTGAATCGCTCCGCTTTCGGAATAAAACGAGAAGCGGAGTAAGCAGCGAGGGCGAGCGCGTTCGGACGAGCGTAAGTGAAAATTCGCATTTCCGGCGGCGAAAGAGGAACAATGCTTCCACCCCGGGATGAAAGCGTCCCGACCGAAAGTGCACAAGGGTCGTCGTCGTCGTTTCGCCCCTCTATATTTTCGGTTTCTACCCTCCCGTGGCTGCCGCGCGACACGCGTGTTACCGCTCATTCTCCTTGGGCGTAGCTATATCGCTATTGTTGACAACTTCCTTTAGGAAGGCTCTGTCCTAACGGGACAGCATTTTTCCCCTATCGCGGCCGCCCGCACTCCTCTCTCGCCGACGGCTCCCCGCGCGAGCACAATCCACCCCCCGTTATTCGACACAATCTATATAGTGCCTGCGATCTGTTTTTCCTTATCACGCTCGTCACTGGCGTTAATATTAACGTCGCGTGTCAATCTACTCCCAGCGTCAATTACACACGCCATCTCATTTCGCCGTATCTTCGTCACATCAAGCCCTGACTTTTTATCCTCCCTGTCCATCATCGTCGAGAGAGCTATTCGTCGTCCGCAGCGAGCAAAAATTACTGATCGCGATACTTTTCACCAGGCAGATCGATCTGTACGCGCAAGTTACGCTTTTTACAGACGCATAACCGCGCTTTCATTTATAATCGGATTCATTTGCTAATAACACAAGTCGATCGTCCCCCTCTCTCTCTCTCCCTCCCTCTCTCTCTCTCTCTCTCTCTCTCTCTCTCTCTCTCTCTCTCTCTCTCTTTCTCTCTCTCTCTCTCTGTCTCTCGTTGGCAGTCATCACGATTCTCAGCTCCGCACGAACAAACAATTTCGCACTAATGCTGAAAATACCGTCGGAGCGTAGTGTTAATTCGGCAACGACCGTGTGAGATGTCAGACGGAGAAAATTAAACGGCTCTTACGTTCGATAGGGGAGGAGAAATTAGAGGACCAAGATAAGAAGGACTCTCTCTCTCTCTCTCTCTCTCTCTCTCTCTCTCTCTCTCTCTCTCTCTCGCTCTCTCGCTTCCGCCGGGAATTTCGTTCCAAACGTGCCCATTCGGAAAACGTGAACTTATCGAGTAACGATCCCCTCCACGTAATGCCGAAACCGTGCGTCGAGTTAGAAAATCGTTCTCATCGATTGACCACTTGCTTACACCGCCCTGCGCCCTGCCCTGCCCTCCGCGATCCTCTGCGCGTTTTCTTACGTTAGTACGTATATAACCGGCACATACATTTGTCCACTTAGGTAGGTAGGTAGGTAGGTAGGTAGGTAGGTAGGTGGGTGTACAAGTATACGCTTGATCCGCTGCCAAGAGAGAACCCCGCCTTCGCCCCGCTCCCGTCTCAAATCAGGTTTTCGCTCATATTTTCTCACCGCCAATATTTCCGCCTTGCTTGCCGCGCTCCACCGGAAAGCTTTGCCCCGGCATATGAAACATCCGCGAATATTCCGGGCAAATAATCCCCTGGTCACACGGCACGCGCATTCTCGTAAATCCGAGACCGAACGTAATTTTCGGACTTTTACTGCGTTTTCCGCGCGCCTGATTTCCATTTCGAAAGTTCCCCGGCAAGTTACGCGATAAATTATACAGTAAATATTGCGCGACTGCGCTAACGAAAAACGGCGCGGCCGAGTGATTTACGCTTCGTACGATAAAGCGGGACTTTCGGCTTTAACGTTTTCGGATTTAAACGGTTCGTAAGCCCTTTTCGCCTGAAATCCTACCGGCGCCCCGATATTCTTCGTAATTGTAACGATCTGCGCCCATCCCCTTTGAACTACACGGAAATCCCATCTGTTCTCTCTCTCTCTCTCTCTCTCTCTCTCTCTCTCTCTCTCTTTCTCCCCCCCCTCCTCCTCTTCCTCCCTCGGATTCGTACATAATCATGTGAACACGGTTACGACGCGCGCTGTCAGATTAATCCCGTCGGCATACGCTTCTAGACACACGGACAAATATAGTATTCCGCTCCGTGGAGTACAAGATCCGCAAGACCGTCGCGCGGAAAATGTATACGCCGCGGGCGGAGAATATTACATTCGCAAAGACAATAGCGCGAGAGCACGATCTGAGCGCCGAAACTCTATGGCGTCATCAGCGTGTCAATCAATCCCTCTTCACTCCGAGACTGAGAGAGAGGAGAGAGAGAGAGAGAGAGAGAGAGAGAGAGAGAGAGAGAAAGAGGGAGGGGGTGAGGTCCAGGGAAGAGGTGGAGAGTGAGAGAGCGCCTACAGAGACGGTAACATCATCAGAACCCAATTTCGATCGTATGTATGAAGAATGTATGTAATGCACTTTAGACCTGAGGCTTATACGCAGACACGTACGCGGTGAGAAGTTCTCGCGCCGGAATTCTCTCTCTCTCTCTCTCTCTCTCTCTCTCTCTCTCTCTCTCTCTCTCTCTCTGTCTCTCTCTCGCGCGCGGGCGCGCGCGACGTACGAACGTACGGACGGGCGGAAAAGAAGGTGCGCGAAAGAAGACGGCATCCGTGATGGCATCAGCTTTGTGCTTTATGCTTTATGGATGTAGCCTGTATCCGCACGTGACACTGCGCGCCCGCGGACATGATGTATGTCCTTGTTTGTTCTACAAATGATAACGTCTCCTTTGGAGCTCCGCGAGTTTTCTTGCCTCGTGATGTAGCGGACGATCGAAGACAAATTCGTTTCTTCTCGGCCATATATATTCTTCTCGGGAGTAGTTCTCGCTCGTACATAAAATAAACCGCCCCCCCCTCCACCTCCGCTTCCCGCGCGCACGCTCGTGTGTATTTATTGCGAAAACCGTACGACACGCATTTATACTTTCGCCGCGCGGCACGGCTCTTCGGGAAAAATTCACGCGTCTTAGTACGACAGATGGTGCGACCAAGAACGGCAACGATCGCGAAATCTCAACCCTTGGCGCTTTTTACGCGACGTTGACGACTCACTCGTGTAATTTTCGTCGAGATATGCGTAAGGGATTTGTTTCTCTGCAATTAATTCAGGCTAGTAATTTTCTTTGAATTTTGCATAATTTCAGCGCGTATGTCAGCCGAGTCGACATGTGCGGGACAGAGTGCCAAAACTCGTAAAACCCAGATTAGTGCACCGCGCAAGCACTTCAAGCACTGAAATCGCTGTAATCGCGGACAAAAGATTGCTGACTAGCACTTGTCACCTTCCTTTCCATCTGTCTGCCTTAACGTTCATTGAGCTTTCCCTCTCTCTTGAAATTTATATTTCTAGATGTACATAATCTTTAATAATATGTCAAAGGACGGTATATAATTTGAGAGAGAGAGAGAGAGTGAGAGAGTGAGAGAGAGTAGAGTCTTGAATGAACATTAAGTTTTACAGTTTGTGAAAATTTATACCGCGTGTATCACAGAGAATCGCATTACTGCAGCTAAACTCGATGCACATTCATATTCGTCCCTGGAAAGTAATAACACTGAGCGAGTAGTACCCCAACCCACCTCACTCCACATTCCGCGCATTTTTTTCATCTTATTCTCGCACAGAAACAAAGGGTGCAGCTGCGATAGACGAGTGAGACAAAAGACAAGCTTCATCTGCATTAAGAGCAACATAACCACGTGATATCCTTAGTAAGCAGCAACAATAATCCTCTTTGTGAAATATGATAGCAAACGCAAAAGGTATTTCGATACGCGCACGGTTTCGTAGAATAAGCGATGAGATAAAGATGAAGAAAGAAAGAGAGAGAGAGAGAGAGGTCTTCTTTAATAAATCCCTTGTTAATTATTTTACGTTACATGTTTTTCAACTTTATCGATCTTTTCAAATAGGATAATAACAGATTGTCTCTCGGAGCGTCTGCTCACTGTGATAAGAGATTCACCATCCACGAAATATTATAAGCGGATGAAAATTTTTACAGTTAATTCTGCAGCAAGGTATGTCGATCCGCGTAACGCAATTCGACACGACAAGAAAAAAGGAAAATGTTTATAAGGCACACGTTCGAGCATCGCGCTTCTATCGCTTCTTTTAGGTCGCAAACAATTCGCAGTTCACCGTGTGGCATCACAAGACTTCTCACCCGGACGAGTCCAAGGCCACAAAGTCGCAGATAGAATTTAAAGTGACGAAGGATATGTTCCACGGCGGACACTTACACCTACGCTGCACGGCGGCCATCGCAGACGTTTATAGGAAATCGGCGGACATCGATATCACCGAGGACGTGCGGCGTATCGCGTCGATGACCTCGCCGTTCGAGTCGCCGTACGATCACCGTAAGTATCCATCGACCATACCACATTATTTTCCGTTTTCCGAGCTTTATCAACCACGGGGTTCTCTCTCGCCTGTATAGTCGTTCGACCAAAACAATGCATCTCCCTTCTCTTGGCCGCGTCCTCCTTCCGTTTCGTTCTTTCTCTCATTTTGTTCGTCAGAGTGTTTGATGATCGGAGAAACGGACGGACGGAGTGACAGTCAGCTAGCTCTCGGCGAGTTCGATTCGCGCGCGTATCAGCGCGATAATCTCGACGTCTCCGCGAAGAGAGACGCGAGGCGGCGGCACTTTCCGCGTCACATAACGCCGCCGGTGTCAGGACAACACCGAGTCGAGGCGCGGCATCAAGATAGCAACACGATCAACCATCACTGTCGGTAGAAAACTAGCGTGAAACTGGAACGTACATTAGTTGGACGTATCTATCGCGACTGGCGCTCGTCAAGCGCGCGCTTACAAGTTACGGCGCGCTATCGAGAACCGAAGCAAGTTTGTCGATCAAGCCAAATGGGACGGCACGAGCGGGGCACACATAAATACTCTTTCTGTACGCGAGTAACGCAACGTCGAGCCGAATTACGGCGATCGACCGAATCGCAGCTGCGCAATTCGGTCCCCTGACCACGGGGAATTTAGCTACTTATCAAACGATAGGAAGAAGCGAATCGCTAAACGAATTGTAAAAGTTATAATGAAGCAGGAAAGCCGGGAAAAGGAATTCCCGCAAAGGGGGGGGGGGGAGGTGGAACTGCACAGCGCTCCCGATCGACTCATTTGATTTTTCTTTTCTCTCTCTTTTTTTTTTTGAACTTAGCGTAAACGCGCGAGCTTTTCTCTCTCTCTCTTTCTCTCTCTCTCCCCCTCCCTCCCTCCCTCCCTCCCTCCCGATCGACGAAATAAGCCGCTCCGTGGCAATTTTTCAGGGGGAATTCTTACGGTGTGCACAACGCGCTTTAAAGTATAATTAATACATTCGACACCAAAGTATAAATATAACACTCAATCAACATGCAATCAGTTAATGTGAATCTCGTCGACAGGTTAAGTTGATAATATCAACAGTTCCTTTTATTCAATATGCAGAGAGGGAGAGAAGAGAATCGTCGCACGTAGGGCGCGCGCAAGTCGCTAATTCCGTTGGCGCAAAGTTGGCTTCGGAACATAACGTGCGGACCGCGGGCGAAGTTGCACAGTGCAGATTTTACAATCGAGATCCTACTTCCATAATCATACAGGACGAGGAGCAGGAGAGCGGGAGCGTTTCTGCCGAGAGCGTCAGCCAGCACTCGCCGAAATGCTCCTTTCGCTGACTCCCTCGCGGGAGAGACACACATTTGTACTGATTCGCTCGCGAAAGGGAGACAGACTCGCAGTTATCGAAACGGCAGAATCTCGCGACGAGCGCGAGTTAAAGGCTCACTCGCGTTACCGTCCTCCCGTGAAATACGACGTACGATTTCCTCGCGCGGTACGCTCTTCGCGATCCTCGCTGCGCGGTCGCGCGCAGCTCCTCCCGTGATAAACGCGCAGCGCAACGACGGGGAGACTTTCGGGGAGACGCGGCACTTCGGCGAGCGAGCGTAACAATAAGGCTAACGGCAACAATAACATTTACGACCCCATGCATTTATCGAACCGTGCGCAATTTTTCATGTGAATCACGCCGTCCCCGTGACATTTATGCGCTCCTCGCAGTCGCTCCTCGCGTCACGTCGTCGAAGCTCGAAGCCAAGGAGCCGAAGGGACCCTCGCTGATTGTTCCAGCTGAAAAAGCATAGCCGTCATCCACGTTTCGAACAACGGCATCGCATCCGTCATTCTGATCGAATCATCTCCCTCCCCCCTGCCGACGCGATCGCCGCTGTCTCCACGGATTTCATCCGTTTCTCACGAATTCGCGTGATTCTCCCGGTGTGGTTCCCTCGTCCCCTCTGTGTACTCGAGGCCCTTCGACGAGGACGGAACGCGGGAACATCGCCGCGAATGCGCGTGTACTTCTGCGACCTTCGCGACAAGGCGCAGCGAAGCGATCAATCGGGACGCGTCGTCGAGAAGTTCCAGGCTTTGCGAAACGCACGCAAAACTTCTACTTTTACTAAACTACGACGAGAGCGATACGCGCGTGGCGCGCGATTATCAATCATATTTAAAGAGCGTTGAAAAAGTAGCGTGACAACGCCTGAGAAGTTGCAGGAGGACTCGGCAGGCGCGTCTTTCGCGCTACGCCGCGACCGATTTACTCTAAGGCTGATAAAACTGCACTATTTTTCTGGAGATTTTTAAATTACCGGACAGTTTATAAATAGGGGATTACGCCGGCACACGGTAGCGCCGCCGCCGCCGCCGCGTTACGGACACCACCATATTTCCTCCCCGCGCGCGCGCGCGGCGCCACAAAACTTCTTGAAGATCCCCCGGCTAAACCATTAATCAATGACGCGAGGTAAGGCCGAGTTACCAAGTTATTTGATTGACACCATAAAGATCGTTAATAGCAAGAGTGCCATCGTATCAAGCGCGAGTGGCGTACACATTTATCACAATGTCGGTAACAGCAATTTGCACTGACACACCCACACGCACACACACGCATGCGTGTGTGCACACGCGCGCGCGCCACACACACACACACACACACACACAGCAGTGATATATCCTCCCGTTCGCGTAATTTAACGATGATTAAACTGCGCCTCATTACAAGAGGCAACAAAATGTAATTGAAATCGCTTGTTAGCCAATATCGATTGTACTGTCAACGCCTATTTATTCGCATAACGGAACGAGACGGACGAGTTTTGCGCGTAAAATATTCAAGAGCGTTTGGACATTAATTAAAACTCCCCGGGCAAAAGTGAGATATCTCGACACCAGTGCATGCGCGTGCATGCGCGCGCCGAATAAAAAAGAAAAAAGACAAAATCAAGACAACGCGCGCGCGCGCGCGCGCGCGAGAGCGATTATGACGCGGGACTATTTCCACGAGATATAGAGATCCGCGCGCGTAGCAGCAGCAGCAGCAGCCGCCGCTGCCCCCCTCCCCCTCCCCGTTGCTGCTGCTGCAGGGATCAGCTATTTCTCCCGTCTCTCTGAAATTGTCGGTTCACTTAGGTACTGCCCTCCTCCGAAGCCTGCGGCGCTATTAATCAATGAGGAATTCAGCAATTAACGCTCCGCTTTTATTAACGTGCCACGAGAGAGTTCCATCGCTCGCTCGCGATATCTATGCGAATACTTCGGACCATCGGGCGGGAGGAGCGAGGAGGAGGGACGAGCGCGAGGCCGTATTTGTTTCATCTACGTAAGAAAATTTCACGGGCCGCCCGCGGCCGCATACGCGAGGAGCGACGAAGAGAATCGCCGGCGGCGTGAGAGAGACGCGCCCGGAGAGACAGCGATGGATTTCGCGCGCGCGCGCAGTTCACCGCGAAATGCTTCTCGCGATTAGGCGAGAATTCACGCACGGCGGCGTGAAGGAGGAGAAACCGCGCGTTAAAGTACAACCGACGAACGGCGCGCGACTTGTTCCGAGGAATACACACACCATCTAAGTCTCCCTCGCTCGGTCGGATACGTAAGATTTATCTCTCGCGGGGGCTATTAAATAAATTCACGTCGATATCCGCCCCCCCCCCCTTCGTGCCTCCCGCGGGAAAATCGGCCGTCGCCGAACCGGCCGCTGGTAAAAATTCAATCGGTGGCGGGCGCGCGCACGCTCGTATTCGTCGGTCGGCTAATCGAAGATCGATCCGGCGAAATCGGGTCGAAACTTCCTACGTCGCAGTCCCGAATATTCCGCGGCAAGGGAGCGGGGGGGGGCCGGAGGGGCGATGGGAGGGGGTGTGGGAAAAAGCCACCTCGAAAGCGCGGGGGAGCTCGCGACGAACGAGGGCGAATCGTTTACGAGCGACACCGGGTGATTCCTCAGGGGGAAGCGGGACGCGGCCCGGGCGACGCGCGTTCTCGCGCACTGAATGATCCGCGTTTACGATTTACGTCATTACGATTACAGGGGATTTCACGGACGAAGTCGCCCGCCGCCGAGAGCCGGCCGCGATATCCGCGCGCGCGGGAGGAGCGCGATAAAACTGCACAACACTGCGCGGGGTGTGCAGCGTTCTGCCGAAGCTGCCGGATCGGCGGGGATTTCATCGGCGTCGGTGCCTACTCCCGGTCGCCGATACCATTACTTGGCAGTAAAAGGAGCGTAAACGCGGGACTCTAGCGCGAATCTACGGCCGCCCCCCTCGTCAGCCTTCGCGCTATAAGTATACGCGCCTCGCGAACCACCCCTTTCCGCCACCCGTTTCGCACCGCACTATTTTATAACATCGCGCCGCGACGTCGACGCTGACGTCTCGCCCAGCGAAATGAGGCAAAACCTACTAAACTCTCGCGCGCCCTCGAATATCTTAATATCGTCAGCGAGCGTGATGCTCGCCAGCCCCCCAGCTCGGCTCGCGGCAAAGGAAATTATCCGAGACAGCGCGAAAGACTGATCGCGGTGTCATTCCGACGGCAATATCGCGCGCGCGCGCGCGTTTAATGCGAATTATTAAAACTCCCGATCGCCGGCGAAATGGCTCTCGTACGCCTTAAACTACTCGCGCTGATCGAGTGATATATTTCTCATCAAGTCTGCGGCACGATCGTTCGATCGTACCGTTCGCGCGAAAGTACGAACGTCTTTTTGAGGAGTTTAATCGACGGATTAATCGCGGGTTAATGCGAAAGATAGGCGTCTCGTTCTCGCTTCATGCGTCGTAATTAATCTCACGAGTGTGCGACACGCGATTGTTACTTTCCGACTGTAGAAGTGTTACTCTCGACTGTAGAAGCAAAATTCGCGGTTTTCTTTTATGCCGGTAACTCGCGAATTAACCGGAACCGAAGAAGCCGTTTTTGGATTTGCGAGACATCGATTAATAGATGCACGATCGATGCACTTATCAGACGTACATCTTACTCTCGGTCGAGACTGCATGTCGCAAATCGGAG